AGCACAGAAAGATGTTAACGATACTGCTGGCATACTAAAGTAGGAAACTGTCTCAAGGACACACAGTAGCTAAAGTAAATAATGTACACTCCATTTATAACAGATCACCCAGAACGGATGAGGCTAAGGCACTGGACTGGCACTCAGAAGATTTGAGTGCGATTCCCACCTCTCCCACAGACTTATTCTCACTGGGCCTCAGTTCCCCATCTGCAAAATGAAGAATAATAAACTTGCTTTCTCCTTGCCTGTCTCTGTCACGTCTATTTAAATTGTGTGCCCTTCAGGACAGCAGCTGGCATCATGAAACCTCCATCTCCGTATAAAAACCGAGATAGATGGCTCCTGCGTATCCCCTAGCTGCAAACAGAGCTGTCGGTGCAATCCACTGAATCAAGGGGATTTGCAGCCACAAACATGACTCTTACATGTGGCCTGCAGCTTACAGTCAGAAGTGGCGTGGCTGCAATATATGTGGAATAGGGATCGCAGTGTTATTTAAACGTGGGTTCAATGCAACCGGCTGTGTTCCCGCAAGAGCAGTTACACACCACTCATCATATGCTACCTCCGGAAATCTCGTCGCAGGATTAGCGTGCCAACAAGTAGAGTACTGGTCTAGCCAGACATCTAAAGCATATTGGCACCACTTAAATTTGTCCATTCACCAATATGTTTTCCTAAAAACGCCCATATGCTTTGCCTGTAGCTCCCATATGCTTTTGTAAAGGAAAACAAAAACATTTTGTTAGTTGTGAGTGATTGATCATTCTGTATTTCACAAGAGTCAGATTTAAAACAACAAATAAAACCATTCAGCTGCAGGGCTTTTCCTTTTTTTCAAGGCTTTCTCCTCCAGTTCACTGATGAAATCATGGTAACCAAGAATGCAGAGAAACACCAGGACATTGCAGTATACTTAGTGGGCATGTCACACACTATCAGATGCCTCAGGAAATACAGGCAGAATCCACATTACTGGGATACAACAGAAATAGTTAGGGCCCAGCCAAATTGACGGTCCATTCTGGTCAAGTTCAAGGTGACAGCATTTGAAAATTAGTCAGTTTCAGGTTTTCAGATATTTCCATCTGAAATTTCATGGTGTTGTAACCGGGGGGGTCCCGACCCAAAAGGGAGTCAGGGGAGGGGCAGGGAGTGTGTCGCAAAGCTGTTGTAGGGAGGTTGCGGGATTGCCATCCTTACTTCTGGGCTGCCTTCAGAGCAGCTGGGGTAGGTACCCAGAGACGGGTCTGATCTCCCCCACCCCGAGCGTGGCCGTGCAGGGGAAGAGCAACTCCCGTCCCTCCCCAGCCCAGAGGGCAGTAGCAGCAGGAACCAGGGGCAAGGTAGAAGCTCCTGCTCTCCCCCTCTCCTCCAAAGCTAAATTTCACGGTCCGTGAGACGTTTTTCTTGGCTGTGAATTTGATGAGGCCCTAGAAATAATGGCCAGTGATTTCTAGGCCAATGCAATCTCAGGCTATGCTTGGGATTAGACGCTTAAGAGATGGTGATTCCGCTCTCCAATGCAAGGACTTTGCAACCTTAATGTTTTTTGTATCTACTAGGACTGCACACACACTTTGTTTGTGTGTGTCACTAGGCAACTGATCCCTTTACCGGAAGTCGGGGTTACCTTTATTGGGTCCAAGTGCTCATTTACTAATTAACTATTAATGAGCCAGCCGGGGCAGTTAGTTGCAAGGAGGAGCTGATGGTAACTGGCATGATCGAAATTTGCGTTCCCAGCTCTGCCGCTGTTAATTCCTATGCTGTTCTAATGGATCTTTGCCCAGGTTGTCAGGCAGGGCCATTTGCATACAGATGGTGCTAGAGGGAAAGCATCTAGCCTGGAGAACCACAGCTTTGGTCCATTTCTGGTCACACTTTGAAGCCGTGTTGCTCTTCGGTGAATTTTAGATTTCTAGGGCCAAATTCACCATGTCTTCTTGGGCCAGCCATAATACTCTGTGGCAAGTATCTGTTAATTGCTATAGTTATTCCATTACCCCAAATAAAGACAGCTTTCTTTCGCAAAAGGGTTTCCTACCCAGTTCAGTGAGGAGAGACACTCCCATGGACACCGGCAGCTCCTGAGGAGAGGAGCTCCCAGAAGGCCGGATGAGGAGGGTTCCTAAAGCAGAGGGCCTAGATGCGCCTGGAGACACACAGCTCTCCAGGGAGCCCACCAGAGCAAGAGTCTGGAAGGTCACTCCTGGAGCTGGGAGATTCACAGAGAGACAGCTGCCGTCGGCAGGCATCCAGGAGGACCTGGTCTCAGCCAGACAGTGGCAGGAAACCCCAACCGGACACGAACTACGCACCGCTGCGGGGAAAGAACAGTCGCGGATGGATCTTCATGGACGTCTGCTTCCGGACAAGGATCCTCTTCAGGCTGCGTCCCAGGGGCAGAGACTTGAACTGAAAGAATCCCAGATGAAGAACCAGGATGGAGGCAAGCAGTGGACTTGGGTGGGAGACAGATGGACGGGGACTTACTGGGTCCCCCCAGCTAGAATGCTGGGACAAATGTTTTGCTCATATTTTTTGCTGGCCTTTTCTGCTAAATAAATGAAGAGTGGACCCTCCTAAAGCCTGCCTGGACTTGTACTCCAGATGTGAGGGGAAATATAATGGCAGAGTTCACCCACACCTGACTACAAGGGGGGGTGCGCTGTGGCAGCTTGCACTGGGACAGTATCTACCAAATAAAGCCTGCCCATGCCGCACTGCAATGCTCTCTAGGTCTAACTGAATTTGCTCTCAGCAAGGATAGATTTCTGACAGTGATCTAATCTGATGCAGGGCCCAATTACAGGCTAGACGCAATAGGTAAAAGCCCAATTTTCCACAGGAGCGATGCTGAACAAATGGTCAAGAGAGAGGAAATCATTCTCTTGCTATGGGGCACACGGTAACGGACAATTTGTTGGAGCACGGCGGCAGGATCAATTTCACGATATATTTTCTCATCGTAAAAACTGCGCACATTTCCCTGTCAGCCCGAGAACTCACAATGCTATAGATGATAATTATCTTTTTATTACATAGCAAAAACCTCTCCTTCCCCACTCCCAAGAGCAACAGTGCAGAGGAAGGGGCAGGTGAATATGGCATGGACAGAAGGACGGAAATCATCGAGAGGGAGGAGGTTACCCCCACCTTTATAAAAAGAGAGGTATCAAAAGAAGTATAGATTCAGTGTTGGCAGCTGTTTAATTTGGACAGTTTATTAGATATTGTCAGGAAGGCATGGCAGAGAGACAGTAACGCTAACAAGAGACCTGCCATTAATCTTCAGTAACCCAGCAGCTGGGGAGCGCAGGCCTTGAATCAAATTCCCCTGAGAATTATTATTAATCTCCCATCCTCTGTTTATTAATCCCTTGCCCGCCTTCCTAGCTCACCATTTATTAACGTCCTCAACTGTTTGCAGTAAACAGGATGCTGAAAACTCATCTCCAGCTCACCATAATTTACAGGCCACAAGCGAAAGAAAGGAAGGGGGAGGAAGGATGAGGAAGAAGGAGTGAAAGTGTAGGATGAAAGCTGGCTCGGTGACGGCGACGGGACGGAGGAAAGGAAACCGCACACACTGGCTGCTGCGTTGAAACCCTGACGGTATTTCCAGGTATGTTTTCTTAGGCTCTCCGCAGTGCGACCGCCTGCCATCCCAGGATGCTGCCACAGCTGGAGAGATCAGCGTTCTGAAGAACACGCTCTCGGATACTCTCTCGGTTGGATATACGCCCACACAGGGAGTTCCAGCCCGTCCGCCGCACCTCCGGAAACCCTCAGCGCTGTAACGCGTGGTGAGTGGCGACACAGCAGGACCACGGCTCTCGTGCCACTGAATAGCACAGCAACGTGGAAGTAGCTATATTGGCTCCGACCACTGGCCATTGAGTCCACTAACCTGCCATCATAGCTCTGACCGTGCGGCTATCTAATCTGCTGCCATGCCTGGAGCAGCAACCAGCAACTGATACTACAAAAGAAGGCGGACACAACCCCCTAACGCACCACAATAATCATGCCCTTGGTCTATGTGGGCATGGGAGGGTGAGGAAGGGAATTCTTTCTTGCCCAATACAGGCCATCGACATACACCCTATATCATGTACGCTGATCGCTCTTAGCATGAAAAGCTACAGATGTTAGTTCTCTGGCCCCTCTCATACACACAAGCCACATAGTAATGTCGAAGGCGCTTAAACATCACCAGGTAAAAGAAGGCCCACGCGCCTGCATGTCGACATTATGCATTTTTTTAATTGGGGAAAACTAACTGGACACCAGCCTCTCACAGCTGCACTTTACCTCCCTTTTCATCACCCGTCTATCGGTGGCAAACAGCTCTTGATTTGTCGTGGGACAGAAATTGCTATTCCAAACCTACCAGCTATGAATCTGTATTCCTCCATTCCCAGTTTTAGCATGGCTTACCCATGCCTTGTTCTATGCCAATTACCATGACTCAAGAGAAAACTTCTCATTTGCCCCCTGGGATGCTGTCACGGTTGATTAAGGACGGAGACTGGACCTACTTTGACAATGTTCCCTTTCAAACGTTCTTACCTGACGGAGCCTCTTCACTAGGATTTAATGATCCTACCTTGGGACAGAAGTGAAGAGCAAACTGAGGGGTGCGTCAGATCATTCGACAAGGGGCCGTTGCTGAAGGTTCAGAACTGTTTCTCAGGCCGAGCTTTGGGTTCCTGCTAAATACCTTCAGTCACTTTAAAAGAATGTGTGATCCTGAAGAATGACCCAACTACCTCAGCAGCATATATAGATTTCTCTTTAGGTCCTTCTAATGATTGAGACGCGCTCTTTTCTTTACTGCCGCACACTGAAGATATGTGAGACTTAAGCCAATCTGGATACAACTCGGAGGGTGCTGGGGTGACCACAGCAGCCAGCAAATCAGGTCCCTAGATCCCCACGTAAATCCTAAAATGAGCAGTTTACCAAGCATAGGGACCCCATTCCCCTCTCACCTCAAGTCAGGAGGCGCCCTCCAAGCCCAGGATGAGACGTACTTACAGGAACGCTGAAGGGTCTCTGTAGAGGAAGCAGATAAAGATGTTTCCAAATTAGAATCAAGCCCTTGAACTTCGTAACTGCCATAAGTAGATCAAGTTGGATACATCGCTTCAGCAAAAAAAACAAACGGGCTAATAAGCCCTCAGACCTTCTCTAATGATCACAGAGCAAGCCCTTTCCCTTACTACAAGTCCTATGTCCGTCTGTCCCTTTTTTTCCCCCACATAAGGGCTTTTCACCCTCTCTCTGGAGAGATTAAATCTGAACTGGTGCTAGAGTAAGATGGGGTTTATTTGAGAGAGAAGCTATTTGTTTTAAATCGATTTAGAGATGGTGAAAGGCAGTGGCTTGGTTAACAAAGTCCTCTCTAACTCCCAAACAGACGGCCTTTTGCCCACAACCCTTAACATGCGTCCTCTCCCTGAGCTGGAGGGGACTCCCTTCAGGTGGGGAGGCAGTGGGGGAAGAGAACAAGACAAAAAAGCTGTTGCTTCTCCATCTAGCCCTTAGCTTCCCTTCTAGAACCATCAGCTACTACCACGTGTGGTGGTACGTTTGCCACAGGGACACCAACAAGAACTAAAATTGAGATCTAACTCGTTTCACACAGGTCACTGAACAGCCACCAGCCATGACAGACGAAGTTACCACAAATATGAGCTGTTTTTTCATCCCGTGGTCTTAGATGCTGGTAGCCTGTTGACCACCCTCCACACCCAGCTAGCCTCTGTGCTTTCCGTGTTTTTCGGGTTGCCCTGTTGTGAACTTTACTTGTTACCTTCTTCTCCAGAACAACTTGATACCGGTGAAAGGTTTTGCATAAATGCAACAACAGTGCTTCATTTCTCCAAGCCATCCCTCGCCATTACATTTGCTGACGTGCAAGGATAAGTGGATATCCAGAGACCAACATCATGCAGCCAAGGGTGACTGGGATCTAACACGGTACCAGTAGGACATGACCCCATTTAACATGGATTGATGCAGGCCTCCAGGGCCTTTCACGTCTCAAGATCTGGGTTTAAATTCTCTACAAAGTCAGAAGTAGAGATGCCTTTACTGGAGTTTCTCCTCACAACCCTTGAGCCAGAAATGAAGATGACTAAGACAAGATGCCCACAAAGTTCTTAAGCCAGCATCTGCTCACAGTCCATAGAACCACTAGACAATTGGCATATACATCTTTGCTCAGAAGAGCCCCAGATTGGAACGGCACAGGGGGCCACCCAGAATGAGGTTCACCATGAGCAAGGGAGGAAAGGGTGTGAAAACAACTAAAACAACAGTTGGTTGCATCAGGTCGGGACTGAAGAACATAATGCATGGAGGCAGCTTGCTCAAGATTTGTCTCATGAGCAAAAAATGTACATTCACATTTTAAAGACACTATAAACCCAGATTAAGTAACAGCAGAGAAGCAGATAAACATAACTGCAGAGGAGGCATCATGTGCTCACAGGTTGGTTGGTTTTTTGTTTTTATTGGGGAAATGAATGCAGAGGACTTTTCTGTGCCTGTTACATTGTCTGCTCACCATTTGATGTAGCATGCAGACTGGAGACTTCAAAGGCTCATTCTTGCTTACATATAGAGACTGCTCTAAGCTAATGCCCCGAATGCGACCAAAAACCAACGCATGATGAATCATTCATACCGCACACAGCAGGGCTAGTAAGCACCAGGCCTCGTCTCATGTGTGCTGTACTGTACGCATCTGTTTTTGGAGAAAGGAAATTCAAGTCCTCACAGGGTTACAAGCTTACTGCTCTGTGTCAGTAACGTTGCGTCTTCTCGGCTGGAAAGTGAAAGTAAAGTGAAAACTTCAGAGCTACAATTTAAGCATGAATAGCCAACGGAGTTAAGCAAAAATCCACTGGCACGGGCAGCAAATTATACAAATGCACATGTCCATTTCCCCAGCCTGTCTTTGGAAAGTTTTGGAGGATAAACGGCATTGTCATTATTAGTCCTAATCAAAGGAGTCTTTTAGAGGGGTTTGAAAAAAGGAGAGAGAGTCGCCCAAATCAAAAGCCCAGATCCTAAAACTTTGGAGAGCGTGGATCTAGTGCTGAACTTCATTGCTGGCCTCATCTCTGCACTGGACCAAATCAAAACAACCCTGAACGCGGCAGAAGTTTAGATCTGCATCTGGATGCATTGGCCTGAGACTAAACTGGAGTCAACTGATGTCGCTCTACTGAAGTTGATGAAGTTGGTCTAAATCAGCCTAACTGAGGATCTGGACTATCAACTTTTCAACTCAGCCCACCCCCTCCCCACAGTTAAATATCTTCTACCGAAGACCAGCATCTTTGCCATCTTAGTTTGGATAATTTATTTAAATCATGCTTGAAGATTCACCAACATCTTTGGGCTGTGTTTGTATTTAAAAATAAAATCCCAATAGCTTTGAACACATGTTAATATTTCACCAGATTTGTGTGGACGTGCAGTTGTGCTTCCAGCTTTACATCTGTGAACTGGCTGAAGGGAGAGCCCTGCAACATGGTGCGGGCGGCAAAGAGAACACAAAACACAAAACTGAGTTGTGAGTGCCTGCTGGGCAAGAAGATAATAGTTGTTCTTTTCAGAGGCCTGAGGTATTATTCACCAAGGATTGTTTTGGGTTGGGAATGGACAAAGGCTGCAGAAAAAGGGACCAGGGGAGGAGAAAGGCACTCTGATACTATGGTAAAGAGATTGGTTTAAAACCCAAGTCAGACAAAACAGATTGGAAAAGGAAGCCAAATTCGGATTAGTTTAAACATTTTATATATATTTTATATAGGATCTTCAAAAACTTTACAGATTATGAGTAAAGAGGCCTTCATCCATTGGCAAAATGCAACCACTTGTAGAGTAGACTGATATATTTGTTTAACAGCACACAGCAACAGTACAGAACAATTTTAAAGACAGGGAAAATGAAGAACTCTGTATCCAGATGCTGCTGCGGGGGAAAATGAGACAGGCCAGAATTTAAT